AATACAGTTCTTTGCAACTCTTTCTTACAAATTCATTAATATTAATAATCTTAGTTGTGAACCTATTGACAAAACTATATCCTGCATTTTGGTTGGAATTTTCTAAATGTTTATTAAAGCTAGATAAGACATACCTGAAACTTGAGTAATGTAAGTATAAAGTCTTCCACATCTACTACTTGAGATAGCGAGAAGGAGATAGAAACAACCACGAATTTTCGTAATTGATAAAATATTCCTTCTACCAAATCAAATATAAAAAAGACTAATTTGGTGCAACCTAATTCATGTATATGAGTATTATAATATTCTTATAAAATAATCTAATTTTAAAAATATGCATATAAAATAAATCTTAGCTGGCTCACCAATTGATTAAATAGCGAATAGATCTATGTCACTAAATTGTTCTCTGATCTTATATTTAATATCTGTAATCTTGTAATTGATTAATTCTCTTTCTAGTATCCTTCACTATTCTTACTATTTTTTCATAATTTCCTGTTACTTTATTATTATCAGCACCATTTCGGCAACTTTCACCAACTATGATTTCAACTTTTTTTTTTGGAATAACAACTCGTAAATGAAAATCAGGTATATGCCTATTTTTATTATTTTTATTATTTTCTTTATGAATCCGTTTAGTGCTTGCCTCTGATATTTCATCACCCCTTATATTATAAATTATAGTAAGTTATAGATATCTACTTTATTTTTTACAAAAGTAGAACTACCTACCATGTTAAAATATACGGAGTATCAAAACTGAAAAAAAGCTCATCAATCAAATGACCTGTTTGTGTTACTGTAATGTGGTTTTTGGGTATATTTTTTTTGTTCATACTATAAGCCAGATGTTTTGCATTATGCTAGAAGTGTTAAAATATAGTAATGTTAGTGCAAAGGCCTATAGTGTAGGATTTAATTTAAAAACCTTTATACTTACAGTCTATTTAGCAATCTAACTATGCATTTTATATAAAATTCATCTTGTTTTAACACATGATCTTGAAGAGCTTTAGGTACTATGAAAGGCATATCATGACAAAACTCCCAGGTTTCATTTTTATATATTTTTATAAAAAGCTAAGCCAGTTTGTCTACAATGGAAAATACAATATCATCGATCATAACCTTTTTAAAATATATAGGATCTTTGAAACTAAGAAGACTAAATGTTGAATTATGCGAATTTTAGTATCAAGAACTCCAATAATACTAGGTGATATAAAATGAAGACATTCTAACTTTGTCTTGATAAACACTTAACAACTTGTTTGATCTTGTGTTGTTTATCTTTACTCATCTAACTGGCTAGTTTTTATAAATGTTATGGTTGAAACACTTGCAAATAATTAATGCATAAATCTATAAATCTTTACAGCAACATTTACATATTATATCTTACCATTGCTTTCTGCATTTCCTCTATGTTTCTTTTAAAATTCTTCTTCCATTGTTCTTTTATATACAAATATTTTTTTGAAATTAATTTAAATAGACAATCATGCTATATTATATAAAAATAATATGAAAATAGTTAGATAAAATCTATGAATACAATACAAGACATTAATAATTATAGTATAGGCTATGTCAGTATCATACAAGATGTTAAAAAGATGCTATCTCATTTCTGCTTAGAAGAAAAGAGTATTATACAAAACATCAAAATGAGCATTATCCTCACTTCTATCTGAGAAGAAGAGTTGTGTACAAAATGCCCAAAGGATAATGCTATTTTCACTTCTATTTGGAAGAAGAGAGTATTGTACAAACATTTAAAAAAATGCTGGGTATACATATAGCCTTTTTAATCATAAACCCAATGTGTAAGTAGATTTTTTCAAAGACTACCTTTTTATGTTTTAGCTTTTTTCAAATTATAGAGCTCAGATATAGTTTTTAGCTTCTATTATTCCATGTGACTATTAGTTATATGCTTCTACTAAGCTTTTTGGAGGTAGCTCTGACTGAAACTCTCGCATTAGCCATGTTTTATAATTCAACACCAAAAAATCATCTGCATTTCAGATGAACCAGTATGTAAACTTGTGAGTGTATTTTTTCTCAGACATCTCTGATAAAGAAATTAAATATCAAAAATTGTTTATTTTATACCTTTTGATCATGTTTTGTGTCAATCATATTGACATGTAATATGTAGCAATTAAATTTTATATATAACAGTAATTAGCTAAATTTGGTTTTTATTAATATGCACAATTTTTAAATCTGTATTTAGTTTGTTGAATATCTACTTAAACATAACAAGATAAAATATCACGCTAATACAGTGAGTACTGAGAATTAGAAAAATTAAAGGAATTTTTTTTTTATAGTATATTTAAAATTTTTTGCTAAATTGGTGAAGGTATTATTAGTTAATGTTAATTTTAAATTATTTTTTAAGATTGAGTTTAACAGATTATTAATTAAATTATATGTGTAAAAAAATATGGGGGTATAAATTATTTTTGTTATAGTAAAGTCCCCAGGCTGAAAAAAAAATACTCATTATTGCTTATATCGAGAAAATACTATGTATTTCACTATATGAAGTTGAGGTTTAATAATTCTGGATTTAAGAATTATTTACTATTTTGAATCTTCACTATAACGAGAGTTTATTATAACAATATATTATATAAAAAATTTGCAAATTTTTACAAATCTTCAAACCTGGTAGCTATTTTCACAAAAAATAAATACAATTCTGCACAGAATTTTGGGTTTAAAAAATTTTTACAAATTTGCACTAAAAATTTTTTCTAATGCTATAAAAATCTGTTTTTACAAATCATTGCAGATCTAAATAAAAAATCTTTTTGATGTTTTTTCTATATTATACAATTATCAAATACAAATATTATACTATATTTTCTTTTATTATATAATACCAATTTTTGTAGCAGTTATGATATGCTCTGACTGCAAGTAATAGTTTACTCTATTGTATAGATTCTTAAATAATTAGTTAGAAAATTCTAAACCTGTACTAAGATAAATTATAATAGACTATTTTGCTCCTTCACTTGACATTTACAAAATAATAACAATAATAAAAAAAACAATCCCAATTTTTGTGATTATTGAATTTGTAAGATCTTTATACAAAAATCAAAATCTTCATATGTAATGAAAATTTTATATCATCTATTAACTGATTTATTATCAAGATCAGTGTTGTCACTGGAAGACCACTGGAAGACCACTGGAAGGCCACTGGAAGAAAATTAATAGTGCCACTGGAACTTAAAGTTCCAGTGGCACTATTGAATTAACTTCCAGTGGCCTTCCAGTGGTCTTCCAGTGACAACACTGATCAAGATATTTAACAAGTTATCAAATACACTACGAGACAAAAATGGATAATATTGAGGTTTAAGTATTATATATTAAAGTTACTAAAAGAAGTAACAAGAACGAATAATAGAATTTTATAAAATGATAAAAACGAAATATATGATATTAATTTATTTAACTTTATACTAATGACATCAATTAATTACATTATTCGGCATGCTCAGAATCAGTGTTGCGTCCAAACAATTTTTTTGGCTTTTAGCTAGTCAATTGGCCAATAGTCAAACTTTGGCTAAAAAGTTTCTAACTTATATAATATTAACCGATCATATTACTAGGTATACAAAATATTTGGCCATTTTAGCCAAATATTTTTCTCGCCCTTTTCGGCCATTGACCGCAGTCGATTACCGCAGCCATTCCAAGTGACCAAGTGAGAGTCAACTTACGTAAGTTAAATTTGAATTTCATGGCAACTTGATCTATATTTGGAATTTCAGTTTCAACTTAAGTAGACTCTAAACCTATTGGGTTCCGTTTCAACGTACAGCATATACACTCTTCAAACGCGCTTAAACAAATAAAAGTCATTGAATGTAAAGCATTCAATAACTCTTATCATTATTTTTTTTGTATAATTTTTAATTATCAATAATATATATAATTATACAGTATAGTACGTAATCAATAGTTACTTAATATTGTAAATTATTAAATTTATTGAAATTTATTGAGTACCTTAAATGTAAATACATTATTTTTTATTTATTTCATTAATGACGAAAAAGGTTTCGAAAACAAAATGCATGTAGGACAGCTATCGACAAGGCTTTGTGTGATGTTAACACAGATAATTTGTGAATCCTCATAACGATAACGATAAGCCCAAAATTTCATTTATTCAAGGTTTTAGTTTATACATACAGTATAATTTTTTTATTTTGCATGACATTATCATTATTCATAAAACGTTATTCATTAGAAATTCATTTTAATGCCACCCTTCATTTAAGAAACAAAGGAAAAAGACAAGTGACACACATAAATGAGAGCCGAATTATGTGTTGGTTCAACTTTAAAATATCTTGCAATAAAATTCATAAAAAAATGCATATTAGATATAAACAAATTTACATCTTAATCCGACTCTCACATTCATGTAATATCGCTTGCCATTTTTATTGGTTAGTCAAGAAGGTACATCAAGGGTACATTTGGTTAATTTTTCCACAAAAAATTGGCCACCCCCTGTAATTTTGGCCAATCAAAATTTACGATCAAGTGTAACGTGATAGTCAAACCAAACGTGGTTTCCTAAGTAAAAAGTCGCGTGTAAAAAGAAAACCACGTTATGGTTAGGGTTAGGGTGAAGCTACTAGTAAAATTTCACAAGGAACATTTTTTGTAAAAAAGTGCAATTGGCCAATATTACAGGGGATGAACAATTTTTTTGTGGGACGTTACATAAGTTTGTAATGTAATGTAAGAATTTCAATTACTGTAAAAATAAAAATGGGGTGATAAATGCTAAAATAGTAATTTTTCTAATTATTAAATATATATACGTATATATATTAATTAAATGTAAATTACAACATATATACGTAATAATAACGATAAGAATTAAAATTAAACATATCGATATAATATAATAAAGTATACAAATAGATCTTATATAAACATATATAATTATGATATTAAATAATATTAAAGTACTTATTAAAGGTGAATTCATCAGAAGATTAATATTAAAGTACTAATTAAAGGTGTAATATCTTATAAGAGATGAAGAGTATTTATGGCAAATTCACCAGAATATTAATATGGTAGGATGTTTGATATCGAGACTTCTTATGGAAAAGAAGACCCCAGGAGCATCGATGTCGAAAAAGTAGTATATTCAGGAGGAGGAGAGACATTAGAAATTATTTGATCTCTTTCATTTTGTTCAGAAGGTGAATCGAAGTCCGTGCCTTTGAATAGATGATCAGCATTTATGGTATTCACAGTATTTACGGTGTTGTCTTGACTCTGAGTCATGATTGAAATTTTTAAATTTTTTCTTTTTCTTTTTCTTTTAAGTAAAATGGATATTGAAATTTAAGGAAATGGAATCACAATTTATGATGCCTTTTTATAAGAAAAATTAGTTATGTGAAAATATTGAAAATGCATATAAATACACTATCGATGGTACAGAACTATTAATTATAATGGTAAACAGCTAACGATTGGGTATTTAATATGATGAATATGACGACTGAAGATAAGATCTATTTTCATAGTTAAAATTTGGAAATAAAATTTTGTGAACATATAGATCACCAATAATCAAGAAAAAAACCAATATAGAGTATATTACATGTGGTTTAGGTGCAGTATGACAATAAAAAGACAATGGGGTTAATCAATAAAAATGTGTACAACGTTTATTTATGAGCCAACAATGAATAAATTATTAAATTGTTATTAAATTCATTCATTAAATTTAAATTTTCCTTTTGTGCTATACATTCATATTTTGTTTTTATTAATGTTTCATATTCCATTATTAATTATTTAAACTGTTATTACTAGAAGCCATTAACAAATTACACATATAGTTGAAGCTACTGCTACTGTGCTTGCCAAAGCAAATGGTATTATATTATCTAATTAACATTAGTCACGCCAAGAATATTTAAATTGATCTACGCTGGCCTAATTACGGTAATAAACAGAAATAGTAACGGGAAGAAGCAGATTTTGTCATATTTTAACATTACTTTATTTAAATCGTACGTAGAATTTTTTTGTGGATTCGAAAATTGATTCGTGATCCAACATATTGATGTACGATTTGTTATCACACAAACTCTCCACAAACAAAGCCCGCTTTGTTTATTTATTTTCTCTTTAATGAAAGTTTGGAATTGCGTCGTGATAGTATTACGCAAATGTTTGAAAATTTGCGTTACAAGGTTTATGAAAAATCGGGATGACATTAATATCAGATATAAGTAATTTTGTAATGATGACCTATGATTAATCCCTTACTTAATATTAAGTAATATTAAATATTTATCAAAATATTTATCATTCTATTACATATTACGTATACATTCTCACTTGTTATAACGGACCCTTCGGGCTAAAAGATTTTGTCCATTATAAATGAATATCCGTTATAATGTTATATAATATAATAATAATTTTAAATTGTTTTAGAAAATTACTCCGTTATAATAAGGTATCCTCTATATCGGAGTCCGTTATAACGAGGGTAGAGTGTACATCAAAATTGAGATTGAACGAAAAATTTTTGCTAAGAATAAAATTATTATAAAATTACTTACTATTACTTATTGCAAGGTAATATTAAGTAACATTAAGTAATAATATGTAACTGACTTTGCCCATCTCTAATCAGATATCGATATTGAACATATCCATAAATTAATAATTAAATCCCGCATCCACAAGTATTATCGTTATGAAATAATATAATTGATCAACAATAAAACATAAACTACGGGTAATTTTACGTTTAATGCTGGGTTGCATTCTAATTTCATGTGTACGTACACAGTATAAAACTGCTAAATTTAGTAAATCTTTACCAATTTGAAAAATGGCATGATAGCGATAGGGTAAATATTCTGTACGTACATACAACATCTTTGTCGACATTAAATTATAATGTTGTAGCAGGAGTTTAAATGCTTTTTAATCCGTGCAATTTTCAGGGTCTATTGATGTTAATATTCATAAATTAGTTCTATTTTTTTGAAAGCCGTTGATTCGTTTCCGAAATTTTAAGCTTTAAATAATGTTCAATTATCTCTTATGATATACAAAGTTTTGAATTACCTATAAAAACCATTATTTAGTTTAATTAATAAAAAAATTTCATTTAATTATGTGCATATCAGGATATAAACATAAATCATCTAAAATTACTACTTCCTTACACAAGACTCCGAATAATATTAGCAGAGATTATATACTGTATATTGGAATTCTTGCTGTGTTATTCACTTTGAATTTTTTGTTTTTGGCTGAATTTTTTTTTAACCAATTGGGTTTGCCTATATGTAACCTTTGTTATAATTAATCGGAGTCCCTATACTGTCTTACGGAAAATTCTTCTGCAATTTTTTGTGCTAATGCTCATTTTCATATATAGAGATGCGATCCGTTATCCGTTTTCCTATTTAAAATTTAACGGATATCCGGATTCTTTATAATAATTTTGGTATAAATTTAAATTAGCGGATATCCGGATCGCATCTCTATTCATATAGATTATAGGTGTATGACATTACAATTTATGAGTTTTATGTCGTTATCATCTTCCCGTTCTTTTACGTGAGTAATTCGGTTTTTAGAAGTCTCACACCTCTATATAACATGTGAAAATTCAAATAACCAATTGCCTTTAATCTGCATTAAATTCTGGGGTATTTACAAATTCGTCTGTAATACTGTATAATTTTTATTGTTTATATCAGATTCTGTAAAAATATTTGTAGTTACATATTACGATACTATCTGCAAGTCCTATAGGTGGTTTTGACTTATAACAATAAAGACAATGGATTTAATTGAATTCTTTAAATCTTAATATTATCGAGAATAACCGATCGTTCTCGATATATTTATCTTTTATTTAACCTTTGTAGTAAAGTTGATTACATACAGTATTTCTGAAATGTGCCTATGCGTAGATATGTAGAGTAGCGTTGAGAATACGTCAGCCTGTTGAATGGAATAGTTATCAATAATAAACGTATTAGATCCATGTATAAAATCGCTGTTTTTCTTGTACATCATATCACGAAATGGTCTAATTAAATGTTTTTTATTATACCTCCAAATTAATTTACTTTAATATTCGGTCTGTTACATTAATATATAATAGAACCAATTACTTTACGATATAATTTAACTAGCTGTTTATATAGGTTTAAAATACTAATTATAGTATTATGTGTGCACGATTTGATTCAGTAAAATTGAATCGGTTAATTTAACCATATTGAAAGAAAAAAAAAGCTTAAAGCTTTGGCATTGTTAACGGTAAGATTATATATATATATATATATTTATGCATACAATAGAAATGCTTTAAAACCAGGTATTGAACTTTATGCACTGTAATGTGAAATTACTTATCGTTATTTGTTTCTAAAAAATAACATGATTATGCAAGATTAAAATGATTTGGGCCCAAATGAAGCAAATCCAATAGGAATTCATTGTGATTTTTTTTTAGACCAAAGAAATTGCAGCTGTGCAGTCCTTGTGAACTACGTAGCATAGGCTGCCCAGAATTCTGCATTTACCGAATTCTCCAAATTTGCGGAATTTGCGGAGTTTGCAAAATCATTCTTCTGATTTTGGATTTACAGAATTTGAGATGTACCACAAATGGTCGGATACAAGGCCCGGGTCTGTTACATTCCACCAATTTTTAAAATCCAGGTCTTTTCCATTTTACCGAAACTTTATCCTATATTGTAGACTCAGGTATAGTACATAGTGGGTCTACTATATGGAGGGATATTGTATCCGGTCATTTACGGTATCTTATTGTTGGTCCGAAATAATTCTTAAAATTTTGTATAGAGCTACCGAACAATATCGGTAGTGCTGGCCATATTGCTGCAGGGAAATAACGGATAAAAATTGTAGCGTTTGAATGTAGGAGCTCAATAATTTATTACTAGAGACATGCAAATGGGCATATTGGTATCATGCCTGGCACAGTGCTATAAGTGCAAAAGTTCCAGGCATTTTGTAGGCCGCATGTAAAGCTCCAGGTACTTTTGGACCGGGAGCTTTGTGCCCTAGAGCCTGGCAATTTAGGCTGCTTACGTGCACAATGTACACATATCGTGCCTAGCAATTCGTGCCTGTGTCTACAATGTGCCTTTTGTTAGACACGGGCATGTACCAGACCTACAGGTTCCTATTCATTACTTAGCGATACGTAATATATAATTTTATCATAAATGCATAAGAACAAATAAGCAAAGCCAAAATGTTATACGTATTATTATAAATTAATTCTTACGTATAACATTATCATTTCTTACACACTATATATCGCTATATAAGTTTTCAAAATTGAACCAATAGCAACTTGGATAGCACAAGCAATGTAGTTCCTGAGAATTCCGAGAATTACTATTTGAGGCTTCAATATACCACATTTTTCGCTGTACATTAGAAATAATAATAAAGTATATATCATTATATATAGAATTTTATTCCAGTCATTTTTCTCATTGATTATTTCCTTTAAAGATACTGTATTTGTATTACTATTACAACTAATATCCGAGCTTTCTCATATCATATAACTTTTGAATAACCGAATAATACTAATTACAGTAGTTGAATAAAAAAAATTTATTTCAGAAATCAAATTATCCCACCATCCGATAAATACGTATCAGATATTATTTAGCCTTAATAATAAAATTGTAACAAAAATTTCTATTTTCATTATTTCTTATTTAAATATTTTTGCGTGTCTGAAATTTGTGCCGCATATTTGCATGTAACGTTGATAAAATCCTTTGAAGTTCGCTGATGTTAGGGTTAGTGTTTATATTAGAGTCAGATATTAGCAAATTATACACTGTAGTAAAATTGTTCAAGAAAATTTTTTGTTAGAGCAGGGCTCAATAAACAAGTCATTAGATATAATAGACAGTCTAATGCCTAATCAAGTCATTAGACAATAGACAATAGACAAATAGATATACTGTATAATTTACTGTAATTGGTTAATTTAGATATTATAATTTGGCTAATATACTGTAGATACTATTAAAGAAAACTAGTTATTAGAGTTTATGTATATTGTTTATTAAATTTTTAGTTACTGCTTACAAATAGACAATAATTATATTTAAGTAGTAATCCATATAAGATCAGCAGTATTAT